GGGCAGAGGGAGAAGCAGACTCCCCGCTGAGCAGGGAGCCCCACACAGAGCTCGATCCCAGGACCCTGGGATTATGACCTGAGCCAAAGGCAGATGCTTAACTGACTGAGTCACCCAGGTGTGCCCCTCATTTGAACTAATCTTAACATCTTATTGTTGAGAGAGAATATTATAAAATTCTGCAGAAATGTGGCCAGTCATCATTCAGGAATAGTTCAGTTTAGAAAGATTTGTGGAATGCCTACTGTGTGCTTGGCACAGTGCTGGGCTCCAGGAACATGAAAGCAAAGAAGTTCTCAGGTGATGAGGAACCGAGATGTTTGAGGGAGTAAATGCAGGTTGTGAACATTGTGGAAGGTACTGTGGAAGTAGCAAGAGGGAGCAGTGGGGATGTCAGGGAAGGCATTACCACCAGTATCAATGGGCAGAGGGGTATGTATTTTTGGGCAAAGGTGCCAGGAAGTATGTGGTGGTGGTGATTTTTTAGGTACAGGATTGGGTGGGGAGTGCAAGCAGCAGGAGGTGGGCCTGGGAAGAGGGACTGACTTTCCAACTATTTATCTTCTATCAAGGAAGAGGAAACTATACATGTAAATGCTGTGCTGACCTAGTCTCTGTGTTCTGGAAGTTTTAGCTCACACTTGAATAACATGGCATTCTCACTGATTGGGTGTTTGCTGTGTGCATGGAACGGTGCTAAGTTCCTTTCTCAACATACTCCTCACTCACATTAGAAAGACGTGTTGCTGTTGCCCCATGGGCAGAAGAGGACCCCAAGTCAGTCAGCGAGTTGCTCTGGTGAGTGGCAAGGCCAGGACTCAGGTCCAGAGCCTGCACGCACCCCCAGAGCACTTCCCGGCCCTTTGTGCTGGCGGGCGTCAGTCTGGGAAACCACTATGCCTGTTGAGTTTTTTCCCAGCTTCGATTTCAAGATGCTTTTGGTTCTTTGTTAGAATGATTAAATGTATCTAAAATTCATACCATTTCTAGAACTCATTTTGTTTTATTAAATGTATCTAAACTTAAACTGGCACAGTTGAACTTATTTCTGTTTCACTTAACCAAAATTACAGAGTAAGAAAAACTGAATGGTGATAATCACAGGGATTTATTACTTGAGCTATTTGTATTTAGCGTTCATTCAGATTACATTCTTTTTAGGTTAAGGGAAATATTTCTAAGCATTGGTGATACTGGTCATTCACTGGGGTGGTTTCCTGTACATTTCTATAAAATATAATTATATTTGTATCTCCCAACACCATTTAAAAGATTTCTGCCTGAAAAGGTGAACATCCTTGAGATGGGTTAACTGACACTTGTTTGTTCTCCCTAAAAATAGTTGGGGTGTAGGAAATGAGGTGACTTACTTAGAGCATTAGATTACATCCCAAATAGACTTTCAGCAGACCTGCTCTATATTTTTAATGTAGATTTCTATATCTTTAATAGTCCTCAGTACATATTTATTAATAACAATAACTATAAAATGATAGAATGTTCGTCTAACATTGGAGAGAGCAACAGGTTGGCATTTTTTTGAATAATCTAAGACCTACGCCAATATTTAGCTTATCTTCTGACTTTTCAGTAGAACACACCCTTCAGCTAGTGCCTTCAACGCCCGAGTTCTTTTGTGCCAAGAGTAAACTGGAGCCCTGTTTCCTTTAAGAAGAGAAGGCGAGCTCTGCCTTAGAATGCCTGGGCAGAGGTCAAACACCCCGCCACGTACTGCGGGCGGCTGGGCCCCTGGTTGGTAGTTTCTCAGCACTCTGGGATGTCCTGACGTTGCCAGCTCGACTGGAAGGACTTGGAGAACAGGAAATAAGCTGCTGGGAGATAAGGCAGGCAGCTATGAATTGTAGACGAGAAAGGAAATGAGAATTCTAATCCAGGGAAACAGCATTAGCAGTTCGACTTTATTTTTAAACCAAGAATCACTGGAAAGATTTCTTTCTCTAATTTAGGTGAGCTACCCACCTATTCAGCCACACTGGTTAGAACTCACAGCAGAGGTGTGCAGATGGGGACTGCATTCGCATCCACTGCTGCATCTGTACTGATCAGGAACTACAAAAAGATGAAACTGAGTCTGTGAACCTTTTGTTTATTCAACAACTACTACTGTGTTGTTGTAAGATGCAGGAATCTTTAAAGTGAAAAATAACAAATATTTTTTGCCTTTGCTCTTTTGCGTCTGTGTCATGCTGTGACTCCACGGCTGTTTTCATGAAGAAGAGGGGTTTTATGATTGATGTTAACCTCATATTCAACCATACCTGGCAATGGATGTTCAAGGCAGAAAGGCAAAAGTATAGAAAATGTGACCAACTTTTATTTTCTAAGATATGACACCTTGTCATCAAATGTTATCTATAGGGAAGGTCATAGCAGATGAATGGGCTCTGTGTTAACTTAAGGAAATAATTTAAGAACTGATCAGTTGGGTAGTATCATGCATTATTTGTCCTATTCCCTCCTATGGTGGCCATTCTGAAGTACATCAGTGATTGTGGGCTTAAACAATGACTGTGGGTCTTCAAGGGCCAAATTGGAGATGCATGCACGTTTGTGGATTGTGGTGCTCGGGCCAGGTCATTGTGGTTCTGAAAGAAGTTTATGAAGCTGGCCTTGATCGACTGTTTGGAAATTCTAAACTTTATGACACGTTCGGTGTCATCTAAAGACTTTTGTTGTTGATGATGTTACTGGTTGTTTTTTTAATTAGATCAGTGATTTAAATAGAGAATTTTATTTTTATTTATTTAATAGAGAATTTAAAAAACTGGACTTAAAAAAATGAATCTGGGTTTGTCCCCCCAACCCCCAATCCACCTGTGTTGAGGCCCCCTCCTGTGTATGTTCACAACTCTGTAACTGCATTTAGAGCACTATATTACGTCTGTTTAGTGAACTGAACTCCACGAGTGCAATGTCTTAATCTCTATCCTCAGCACCTACAGTTCATAGTAGGGAGGCAAGCAGTGTTGGCTGTTGTTAAAATGGCTTTGGGCATTGAAAATAGCCTTCCGGATGTAGTTTTCTTTTCTTTCTTTCTTTTCTTTTCTTTTTTTTTAATTTTATTTATTTATTTATTTATTTATTTGACAGAGAGAGACACAGTGAAAGAAGGAACACAAGCAGGGGGTAGTGGGAGAGGGAGAAGCAGGCTTCCAGCCGAGCAGGGAGCCCGATGTGGGGCTCGATCCCAGGACCCTGGGATCATGACCTGAGCCGAAGGCAGACGCTTAACAACTGAGCCACCCAGGCGCCCCTGGGCGTAGTTTTCAAAAACCTTTTATAGTTCAAAGATATAATTGAATAAGGATCATAACTTCTAATTATGTATTACTCTTTGGCACAACACACTCAGAATTACTGTGTGTCGGTATTCATAGATGAGCCTGCCTCTGTCCCTTTCCTCGGGTGCACAGCTCAGTGAGGAGGCGTGCGTGTAAACCAGGGGTTAGGGAGGATGGGGTACGTGCTGCAATTGCAGAGCTGTGACCAGAGTGAGGCAGCGGGTCCAGCAGAGAGAGAAAGTGGGATCGGGCTGCTGAGGGCGTGGTTGGCAGCCACATCCGTGAAAGCTGACTTTGGCAGGGGAGCCAGCAACTAGGTGAGATTTGCCTGGTGATTGCCAGGTCTCAAAGGATTGCAGCCTTACAGCTGTTTTTTGATTCTTTGCAGAGTTTTAAAAAAAAAGCTACAATACCCTTACATTTCAGGGGGGTAATAATTTCCTCTTAGATTTTATTATGCATCTTGCAGCAAACGCTGATGCCAGCAAGTGTGGCAGACCAAGGCTGGGGGCCTGTCCAGCTCTCTGGTACCTGAAAACCAACTGAAAGACTTTGAGAAGCGACAAGACTTTTGTGTTAGTCTGTGGTCTGGATGCAGGGGGGCGTGAGGAGGGGTCTGGCCATTGCAGAGGTCCTTGACAGTTTGTCCTTGGCCTTACTTGCTTGCTGTTTTAGAATGTGGAGACCATTTACTCTGGTGCTACGTGTTCATCAGGGTTATGAAGTGAGGTCCTGGGGGGAGACGGGGGATTCAGATCTTCCTTATGAACAGCCCCTGTGCTCTGGCTGGGTAGTGACAGTGCTCGTTTGACTGACACACATTATTAGTATATGTCTGTGCATCCATGGATGTTCTGACTCCCGGATGGACTTTTACCTTCCCGAGTGTGGGGTCTGGTGTTCTCCATCTGGGCATTGGTCGTGTAGTGTCATACAGTGTGAACCTAGTAAGTACAAACCAGATGTCTGACTGAATGAATGAATTCCTCACTATCACCGGCATAGGCCAGTCAGGTGACACCCCAGGAACATTTCCCACAGTGAAGGCAGGGTATTGTTTTGTGGTTCATGAGCTCCCAGGACCACGTCATAGCCCTGTGTACTTACTGGTTTTACTGGACTCTGTGAGCCCTGCCCTCGGGCTCCTTGGGCATTTACCTAATCCCACAGAACACCTACCAGAGGGTCCACCTTTTGGATGAGGGAGTGATAGTTGAGAAAGATGAGAGTGATTTGTCCAGGATCAGAATTTTTCAAAGTAAAAAATTAAGTTGTTATACTCACAAATTTTGAAGCTTATAATTTCTTCATATTTCCTCTGTGATGAGTACTACGTAGCTTAGGCATAGCAACTGTATTTTTTTCCAAGTTGTCTAGACGCTGAACTGTTCTTGCACCTGTGAGAGGCAGGGCTTCCTCTCTGTTTTTTTGGGAATGGGCATTTTTGTGCCACAGTTTATTGTTTGCTCAGGTGTCTGCCGTTTATCAGGAAGCCTTGTCATGGGGGTCTAGTTCCCTGTGATTCTGCCACCTGTGGGTTGTGCCCTGTCCTCTCTGCTAATCCCCACACCTGCCCTCAGCCATTCATTCCCCTTGACAATGCCTTCTCTTTAGTTCTGAAGTCTCATCTCTTCAGAGACATTCTCCTGGCCCGCTGCTTCATTCCCTGTGGTAAATGTCTTCTTGGTTATTTTCTAGGTTGTGCTGGTGAGGTGGAATGAGCCATACCAGAAGCTGGCCACGTGTGACGCAGATGGAGGGATATTTGTGTGGATTCAGTACGAAGGGAGGTGGTCTGTGGAATTGGTCAACGACCGAGGGGCTCAGGTGAGTGGGCAGGAGTCTCTTCCAGTGAGACATTGCTGGAGAGAGAGTGCAGAGCGTGTATTCCAGGACAAATGGAAGCTCCTTCCAGAAATAGGTGGAGTAGAAATAAATAAAACTAGAATCCTAGTTCTCATTCCTCTTGAGTATATCACTTGATAAAAAGAGAAAGATCATACTTCTCTATTCAACTATTCTGCTATTGTGAGAACTCTCCAAGTTTTAAGCTTTAATTAAACCTGTGAAATCATTTTTTACCATTCATTGTTGTGATTACATGTTAAATTTGGATCCTCTGAAGTGCTTAGGGCATATCACTTCTTTGCTCCCTTTGAAAGGTACTTTCCCTGTGTTGTAATCTTCATAGTTCTCTGGCAGGGAGCTCCACACGAACTGAACTGTTCTCACAACCTCCTCATCAAGCTGAGTTTTTAACACTCTCTTCTGTCAGGTTTCAATTAGCGTGGCCACCTGTTGTCATCCTTCAGCTCTTCCTTTCTGATACAAATTTGTCTCTGCTCTGAGGAAAACAGGCGCTCCAGGGACTCCCCGCTGAGTGATGCTATTTTTAAACCTGCTCCAGAGATTCTTCTGGTTTCTGGTACAGATCTGGCTCTTCACTCTTCCTCCTGTGATGATGGGCCGTATGGAGCTCCGCGTCTCCTCTCGTGTACTTAGTAACACAGGTCCCGTCCCCTCTGGCTTCAGAACCAAGTCCTCAGGGGACCTTTCTCCATGAGGGCTGTCTTAGATTGTTTTACCACTCCAGGGATGGTTTCCTTGTGACTGCCTTTCTATACATTTCTCAGGAAGTGGATTCTCACCCTCTTTTCTCCCATCTGTTGCTTAAATAAGCTACAAGCTCCCCAAGTCTAAAAATATGACCAGTGAAGTGACACAAAATTGCAAGGAACAAAGATATCATTAGCAGTTACTATTATACTAAGGGCCTTTGTAAGTTGTCATCACAGAAGACAAACCTACCTCTAGGTAAAATAGAACATTCTCTTTTGTGAGTTCCTGTATTTGGTAGAGTAAATGTGATAATTTTGACTGACTGAAAAGGCCTCATCAGTTTCCTGTATACCTCCATGGAGTGAAAAAAGGAAGAGGTAGAACCTACCTGTGACTACTAACCAGCCATCTTGATAATAGAGCCACAGATGAGAAAATCCCCATGACCATGAGACGTTCATGCTACCCGGAGGGTAGACATTGTGGTCAAGAGCTGGAGTCAGACCACACAGACCAAGAGTCTCACTCCATGATTTCTTAGTAGGAGATACTTATTCTCTGTGCCTCAGTCTTCTCATCTGTAGCATAGGGACTCTAATGCTACCTGCCTCAGAGAATCACTAGGAGGATTAAATAGGATTAAACGTAGAAAGTACTTCGGACACTGTACCTGATAGTTGTCACCACATAACTGCTCTAGTGCCTATAATATATGAGGCACTGCGACCTCGTACCCCTGACCACAGCCGTAATGTCGGGGCGCCTGGGTGGCTCGGCTGGTTGAGCGTCCGACTCTTGGTTTCGGCTCAGGCTGTGGTCTTGGGGTTGGGAGGCTGGGCCACACACTGGGCTCTGTGATCATTGGGGAGTCTGCTTGAGATTCTCTCCCTCTGTTCCTCCCCCAACTCGCACACGCACGCTCTCTCTCTTTCTCTTTCTCTCTCTCTAAAATAAATAAAATCTAAAAAAAAAATAGTAGTCATAATGTCATCACCAAGACTGTCTTCAGGCCTTGAGGCAGCAACACTTTGTGGCTTTCTGTGAAGTGGAGAGACTTCTCTGAATTCATCTGTGAGGGTCTCTAAAATGCTGTCATTCTCCCATCCACCAGAGCATGAACTCATTTCCTTAGGTCCAGCGATCGAGTCAGACATGTCTTCAGACTTTGGACGACTAAAGGTCTCTAAAGCGTTGCTCTGAGGAAGACCACAAAGAGGAGCTAGGACAGACTCTGACTAGGTGCTCGTCGTTTTCATGTGTTGTCTCTCAGACTCCACAGGAACCCTTCTGGGCAGATGCCATTCTCAGTTAATGGAAGGAACAAACCCTGGTCAGGGAGGTTGAGTGAGTTGCCCAGGGAACTTCATGGGTGGTGAAGCAGAATTTGAGGCCAGGTTTGAGTCCAGAACACCCTGTCACACTGTCTTCTTCCCAGACAAGACACTTTTTTCTCTTTTAGCAGAAATGCGTGTATTCATAGTATATCCAAAAGAGCTCAGACTTCATTACCGTTAAGAGAGTCCAGCCCCACCAGCCAGGCGTTGCTGCCACCACACTGTTTTCTCCTGACGGCAGCCTGTCTGAGGATGGAACCTTCTGTCATCCCCATATAGCAGCTGTGTGGTTTCCACTACCACCATATCCCTCAGCTTTTCTTTTCATTGAGAATTTGGCACAAAAAAACATTTTAGAAACAAGAAAGGGAGGATGAATTCAGACCTGGAGGGGAATAAACTTATATGGACCAGAGAACACCTGGAAGCACCTGGAATCTCACAAATGCCTATCCCTGCCATGTTCAAAAAGTAATCACTGTATCTGTGATCTGATCTAGACTTTTTTATAATTTTGTTGTTTGGAACTCTGATTCTGCAAACCTTGAAGCCCAGTGAGCAGTTGTCAACAGTGAACACTTCTTTCTCAGGAAGATTTGGTTGCTTTGAATTGTGTTGGCATCAGAACTTACCTGAGTAGAGAAACATCATGCCCTGGGGATGATGACTCACTGGTTGAAGAAGTACTGTCTGTCTGTGCCCCTGAAACAGTACCTGGTAGGAGGAAGGACAGTTTTGTGGCTTGGACGAGGAGGATCCTTGAAATCTGCTCAGAGAAAAATAATACTCTTTAGAGGAAGTGACAGGTGGTCCATGTTACACAGCATGACTTGCAGTGTCACAAAGGAATCAAACGTTTGGCCAAAGCTGAGTGATGCTTTAACAGTTTCTTTTTCAGGAAATGATTATGAATCCTTTATTTCAAAAGTGAGTCTGGAACAGTGCATGCGTTACTGTGTAGGATTAGTCACCAAGGATGGCTGTGCCCCGCACAGGCATCGGCTGTTGTGATTAAAGCTGCCTCGGGCCGAGGTCTGGCAAGGCTGGTGCTCAGACGCAGTTAATCCACGTCTGACACCATGCTCGGTGAGGCAAGATCACACAGCCTCTACCACTGAAAGCCAACCAGAAGGAGGGGGGCTTCCTGCTTATTTTCTTTACCGCACTGAGTATCAGTTCCCTTGTTCTTGTTTTTCCAATTGTGGTATATTCTTAACACTCTACGCTGACCTAATTTAATAAACCCAGTGAGTTCACCGAAACACCCTTTGTTACCATTTTCTCTGACTGCATGACCGCAGGTGTCTTGGAGAAGCTTCTTTTCACTGGCCATACCCTTCCACCCTCTGGTAGGATGTTTTTCTTTTTAGTACAAATCTCTTCCAAGATGAATGAGTTAGAATGCATGTAAATAAGTAGCATTACTTTTGCAAAATGAAAAGACTTTAAATTTTATTGCAGAATTAATGTTATCTCTAAAAAATGTTTTTAAGTTTCTTAGGAAAAACTAAATAGTGTAGTTAGTTGAAACATAGGGTCAGTGAAACCAGGGTTTTGAGTTTACCCTACTAAGCAAACAACTTTTTTCAGTAACCTCAGACCAGCTGTTGAAGAGCTATCTCACAAATCCATGCCATTGTCACGGTGGAGACATGTTAACCACTGAATAACAAACCTGTAACCCCTGCTGGGAAAACAGCAAATGTCCTCTTGGTGTTTGTCCATTTAGTTTATTTTTATCTGAAATGTGATATGTCCAGTAACGTCGCCGATTTTAAAGAAAGTTAAACATTTCCAAGTAAAAGCAACCTAAAACAATTTTATGAATGAAAAGGTAGGTGTAACTATAGAGATTACCAGGTAATCAAAGGTAATTAAAAGGTAATTCAGTGGGGGAAACAATAGTCTTTTTTTTTTTATTCAGATGTAATTGACACATTATATTAGTTTCAGGTATACAGCGTAACGATTTGATATTTGCACATACAGTTGACCCTTGAACAACTGCAGTTTGAACTGCACAGGTCCAGTTACACATGGGTTTTTTCCAACACATACAGTACAGAGAGAAGGGCGGGGGGTCGAGCTAAGATGCTGGCATAATAGGAGGACCCTAGGCTTGCCTCGTCCCTTGAACACAGCTAAATAGTTATCAATCAAATCATTCTAAATACCCAAGAAAACCTGAGAACTGACAGAACAAACTACAACTAGAGGGAGAAAAGAGGCCACATCAAAGAAGGTAGGAAGTGTGGAGACATGGTTTGGAGGAGAAACAGATTGCTGGTGCTGCGGAAGGGAGAGAGCCCTGGTCTCAGAGAAAGGTGGGAGAGAGAAGAGTGCATGGGATTGTACAAGGAGAACACATCCCCAAAGCCATTGGCTGGGAAAATGAGAGAGGCTGATTTTCATGATTTTTTGCAACCAGTGGGGCTCAAAGACTGGAGTTTTAGAGGTGGTGGCGTGGCTGGGATAGAGCCTTGAGGGTGCTGCCTTACTCCTGGAGAGAAGGCAGGCAGGGAACCTGAGGCAGATGGCAGGATCTGAGGCTCACCTAAGATGCACAGGGAGAGACTGTCCCCTCTTCTTAGAGCGCCTCTGTGAGAGGTAGCATTGCCTCTCTGGGGACAAAAGAGCCGGTGGGCGCCATTTCCCTCCCCTGCCCCTCAGCATAGGCTCAGAGACACTTGCTGAGGGCGGCTAACCTGGACACTAGCTCTTTAGCCTGCTTTGCTCCAAATCCCCTGCCCCCATGCTCTGGTGTGACTGCCTTTCTGGGTCAAACCTGCATCATCCCAGCACAGTGAGACCCTCCATCACAAGACCAGTGCAGGTCCCCATCACACCAGGTCCCTAAAGTTTGGAGTTTTGAAAGTCAGCCAGCTTGGCTGGGATAGAGCCCAAAGTGCACTGCACTGCTCCAGGCAGGCAAGC